ACCTTATAACTTGTAAAAACCTTATAAAATAGCTTGTAAAATCTTATAATATCTTATAAATACCTTGTAAATACGTTGTAAAACCTTTTAAAATACATTGTAAAACCTTATAAATACCTTGTAAAAAACCTTTAAAATACCTTGTAAATTTTTGGCGGGAAAATTTTTCCCGCCAAAAATTTAACGCCAAAAAAATTGCGGAATCACTTTTCCTGCAAAAAAAATTTTTTGGCGGGAAAATTTTTTGGCGGGAAAAAATTTTGACGGGAAAATTTTACAAGGTATTTTAAAGGTTTTACAAATTTTTACAAGTGTTTTGGCGGGAAAAATTGGGGGATCACTTTTCCCGCCAAAAAATATTTTGTATTTTGTGGACCTAATTTTGTTATATTTCCTTATATATTTATGATATCTTTTATTAAAAGAAGGGTAATTTAGTCATTTTGTACATAAAAGGGGTATTTTTAAAAATGGACATCCAAATGGGGTATTTTTGAAAAGGGGTATTAAAAAAGGGGCATTTTTGTGAGTCTCCCTTGAAAAAAGGACATTTTTGCAAAAGCCCCAAAAAGTTTTAGTTAAATATCAAAACAATTTACTTAAATAAATCTTAAAGTGTTCAATTTATAATACGTAAAAACGGATTAAATTTATGACACCACAAGACTTACGGACCAAAAGGACGGGATGCTAAATCCGGTTTGTTTTCACGTATTTAAATTTAACACTTAAGTTTGAAAATATTTTTTAAAAATAAAAATGTTTGTATAGTAAAAATTTAAGTTAAAAATAAAAATTTAAAATATTATTTGTGAAAAACCTAAAGTGTTAAATTTTCAATATGTGAAAACGGGTTAAATTTATGACACCACAAGACTTACGGACTAAAAGACGGGATGCTAAATCCGGCTTGTTTTCACGTATTGTAAATTTAACACTTAAGTTTGAAAATATTTTTTAAAATAAAAATAGTTTGTATATATAGTACAAAGGTTTAGTTAAAAATAAAAAGTAAAATATTATTTGTGAAAAACCTTAAGTGTAAAAATTTACAATACGTGAAAACGAGTTGAATTTATGACACCACAAGACTTACGGACCAAAGGACGGGATGCTAAATCCGGTTTGTTTTCACGTATTGTAAATTTAACACTTAAGTTTGAAAATATTTTTTAAAATAAAAATAGTTTGTATATATAGTAAAAAGGTTTAGTTAAAAATAAAAAGTAAAATATTATTTGTGAAAAACCTTAAGTGTAAAAATTTACAATACGTGAAAACGAGTTGAATTTATGACACCACAAGACTTACGGACCAAAGGACGGGATGCTAAATCCGGTTTGTTTTCACGTATTGTAAATTTAACACTTAAGTTTGAAAATATTTTTTAAAATAAAAATAGTTTGTATATATAGTAAAAAATTTTAGTTAAAAATAAGAAGTAAAATATTATTTGAGAAAAACCTTAAGTGTAAAAATTTACAATACGTGAAAACGGGTTGAATTTATGACACCACAAGACTTACGGACCAAAAGGACGGGATGCTAAATCCGGTTTGTTTTCACGTATTTAAATTTAACACTTAAGTTTGAAATACTTTTTTAATAATAATAGTTTATATAGTAAAAAAGTTTTAGTTAAAAATAAAAAAGAACACTTAAAATGAATATTAAGATGGGATAGAAATTGACCTGACTAATAATCGTATGGACTTTCATGGGCTTGACAGTTCTTTCTGTGCTGAATTTCCTTTTCTTATTGTTGGGCTTCGTAGGGTTTTGAAGATTGCAATCCAACCGTTAGTTTCTCCACGACCGTTACTGAAAACAAATCCTATGATCTCCGATCAATCCACCTCCTCTATCGCCATCTCCGTCGTCAATTGACGTTTATATCACCGCGAAGTCCTCTCAAAAGCTCCGGTAGATTTATTAAGACGTGATGCTTGTGAGATCTCTCACTAGACTTGATCGTCTTCAATGACAATGGCTAAGCGAACAAAGCCTAATCACAATTCACTACCGACCGTTGGCTTTAATTTCTGGAATGATTCTAAACGAAGAAGAATCTGTATCTTCATCTTCCACCACGACGCTCTTCTCTTTTCTAGCCTGGTTGGTCAAGGTTTGGAAAAGAGCAACGACAATACAACAAATCAATAGTTGATGATGAAATAGAAGCAGAAATCGAAGAAGAGAATCGAAAAAATCAAAGAATGAAATTGCCTCTTTCTCTCTCAATAACTCTCTCTCTGTGTTTCTCTGGTTTGTTTGTGATGAATGATGATCGATGATACTAAAACGATGAGACTATTTCTTTTTTTTGGTAGGAAAAACGATGAGACTATTTATAAGCACACATTTGTTTGAGATTCAAGTTTACTTTTTTTCAGCTGTTTCCTTTTTTCACATGTGTTAATTTCCTTTTTTCACTTCTCGGTTTATTTGGCAATTACTAAACCATCAAAATTTAATTTAATTTAGTTACTTAACCGTCACGTAGGCTCTTTTTTTCTTTTTTGTCAAAAGGCTCCTCTGTTCACTAAAGATCAGAAGACCAGAAAGAAGCAAAGTTTGAATATTTTTCTTAGATATTAGGCTTTCATATGATTAGGATTTAGAAACCATTGAGACAAGACCAACCGGAGTCTGTGGTAGTTGTCAATGTTCTCTTCCTTGAAGCTCATATACATCATCGTTTAGGAGCTTAGGAGAGAACTCATACGTGTTCCCTCTGACAAATACCTTATGAACAATTGGTAACTTTGCATAAAACTCCAAGACAACTTCAAGGTTATAAGGTTCCACATAAGTCACAGTGCTCAAAAGTTGCTTGTCCTTGAGAATCTGTTCAACTCAAAGACTAACAAAGCTCCCAACCAAAATCTACTGATCCCTGATCGAGTACTACTACTTTTTCCCAGAATAAATCATATCGAGAGCTATTGTTCTCAGTCAGGAATGATTTATTATAAGGACTACGAAGCGGAAGAGTTTCCTCTGGGTTCATACTATCAGATGTATACACAGATTTTCCTTTGGAGGTACAATCTCTGGCGTCTTCGCTCTTTTTTGCCTAACACAGGCTCCATCGGATTCCTCTGTTTCTTCCTCTGATACTAAGATGTAAGATGCAGACTTCTTCACTCCTGTAGGAGTAACACCGTCTCCAACGACCCTTCTAATGGATGCACAGTCGAAGTAGACTTTGCGTTCCCCAGACTTGAGCCACACAAATGATAAAGCATTAAAACAAGAGCTCATTCCAAAAAAGCTTATATCAGTCGAATTCACCATGAGATCATCCAGATTGTGAATTCATTTTCTCGAAAATCTGCAGATCATGTGACTTGTTTGGTCTGAGGATTTGAAACATGAAGAACAAGACAATTAATTCTGATCCAAGGAACAAAAAATCTCACACTTATAAATTTAGCCACCAATGACATATGTGGCTTTAACACTCAGGTTCCACGTAAAACCTTCCTTTGTAGCCAGAGACTTCGGGTTTAACTATTTTCACGGCAATAACCGAGAAGGAGAGTTATCAACGCGCTAACAGAGGCGCGTGGATTTCAGATACTCTCTCGTCGTACAACCAGGTCCACCACCACGAGCCCCATTAGTATCTCCACCGTACAAAACTTATAAGCTCCGATTAGATTCACCGAATCACACAATCTTTAACATCTCCTCCTTCCTTCCATGATTCCGTTATCGTAAAGATTTGTCCTTTATCCAAATTTTAGGGTTTTGAATTCTTCTTTCCTATTTCGGTTTTCAATGGCGCCTTTTGTTGAAGTCTGTAGGTATAAGCCATTACCGCTCTCATTGAGCTCTCTCTGTACATGTCCTTGCCGTTCTTCTCCAAGAAAGTAAAATTGGATTTGAAGTATTCCTAACATATATAAAAAAGAGATTATCTTATTTATTTAAGTACAATAGATATAAAAATTTATAAAAGATGTAGAGATTTTCTAGTTTTAAATTCGAGATTTTTGAACCAAATTTATATAGAGGAGGTAACATTATTCCTCTTTCTCTTTATGATGTTAGTTTAAGAACTTGAGGTTATACGGGAATTTCGATAAAGAATCATTCTTGTGGATTGCTATGTAGTGCTGAGAAACTTATCATGGCATTGCTGCAACTATTGTCTGTTTAGGAACACAACAGAGATCAAGAATCGCAAAATGTTGAAGACGATTCGAGTTTAGATGATCAGAAGCAGAAATCTAGAAGCCAGTTTAAGAAAAGAGTGATTTTTGGTTTAGGAATTGGATTGTCTGTTGGAGGTATTGTATTAGCTGGAGGATGGGTATTCACGGTAGCAGTAGCAGCTGCGGTTCTTCTAAGTGCCCGGGAATATTTCGAGCTGGTGAGAAGTAAAGGAATTGCTCAAGGAATGACTCCTCCTCCACGATATCTTTCTAGAGTCTGCTCGGTTATATGTGCTCTTATGCCCATACTTACATTGTGAGTAGTTTAAGTCAGTAAACACCTCAAAGTCCGCGATTCTTTCTCTTATTTTGATTAAAGGTTTTGTCTTTGTTACGAATGTTGTTTTTAGGTATTTTGGTCATATAGATATCTCAGTGACATCAGCGGCGTTTGTTGTTGCAATGGCACTGTTGTTACAAAGAGGAAACCCGCGTTTTTCTCAGCTGAGTAGTACAATGTTTGGCCTGTTTTACTGTGGATATCTTCCTTGTTTCTGGATAAAGCTACGGTGTGGTCTTACTGCTCCAGTTCTAAACACCGGCAAGCACTCCATTATTATTATCATTCCTAGCTTTGGTTCGTAAAGTAATCAAAGACTAAGTCTCCTGAGCAGTTTAATTACTTATAGGAATTGGAAGAAGCTGGCCTACTATCCTCGGTGGCCAAGCACATTGGACAGTTGGACTTGTTGCTATATTGATTTCTTTCTGCGGTATAATTGCCTCAGACACGTTTGCTTTTCTTGGTGGCAAGGTATGTATCTGCTGAAGGTTAGATCTAAGACATTAATATTCAGACTTTCTTATAGATAAACCGTTGAGGCATTTTTGAGGATATGATAGAGTTTTTTGCAATGGTTAATGTTTAGAGCTTTCTCTATTTCTCTCTTATATCTCGGCATTCATTTTATTCAAATTAAGGAGGAATACTTTTCAGGGTATTCGTTAAAGAGAACGACAAATTTAGTATTATCGACCTTCCAATGCATATAGTCTCACAATAACTTCTCTTGGCTGAAGTTAATCAACTAATGTTGCAGGCATTTGGTAAAACTCCTCTTATTAGCATTAGTCCAAAGAAGACATGGGAAGGAGCTCTTGCAGGACTTGTTGGTTGTATTTCCATTACCATTTTACTCTCCAAATCGTTGTCCTGGCCTCATTCTCTTGTCAGGTACTCAAATCCGATCGAATTGCCAGAGTCTATTATGTCTTTATTCTAATTGGTTCCTTTTAAACAGCACTATAGCTTTTGGAGTTCTTAACTTCTTCGGATCTGTCTTTGGTGACTTAACGGAGTCAATGATCAAACGTGATGCGGGTGTCAAAGACTTTGGCTCACTCATCCCTGGACATGGTAATGACACGTTAAATCAGACCGGATTTTGTCTATCATTGCCTCTCTAACCCACTCCTCTGTAATTGCAGGTGGTATATTGGACAGAGTTGATAGTTACATTTTCACTGGTGCATTAGCCTACTCGTTCGTAAGACTTCATGGAGTTTGATTCTATGGCTGTATCCCCAAGAAACTCACCCTAGCTTCAAGTAAAAACTTACAAAGCCGGTGCGATTTCCCCCCTCACGAGAGTGAAATTCAAAGAAATATATAGCAATGATGGTGAAATGGCTGCAGAATATTCTGAGATTGGCCTGTTGTTTGAGTGAACCGGTATGCAATTTTTGGTTTAATGCGAGTAAACTGGTTCATTAGGCGAATTCTCAGACCATTGGTCTGTGTTGTCTGACCGGTAATGCGATGGCGGCATTTGGAAATTGATTTAGTGATTCATTCTTGATTACTTTCCAAAATATTTTCTTCCTGTTTCCATATGGATTAAAGATAAAAGGACTTAAAAATCATGTGGGGATGTTAATGAATGCGTTGTTCCCAAGCAGACTTTTTAGGGAGTAATTATTAAACAAATCTGAATGAAAAAAAAAAGGAAACTATAGAAATGAATAATCAATAATCAATGATACTAGTAAAAAATAAAAGTAAGAAATGATTCGTCGATAGTTGTACACAATTACTATTACCCTCAGGTAGTTGGCCGTGTACAGTATTTGACTATGTGTTGTGTAAGAAGGGGTAGAAACGAGAATCAGGAAACTACGTGTGATCCGACGGCTGAAAAAGAAACTAGTTTCAGGGACAGATCCCATCCGCAGCTATAAAACCATAATTTTTCCCATCTCCGTCGACACCATGCATGGCGTCGTCGTGGAGTAAGTTCTATATCTCTTTCTCGAAATTGTTATTTTTTGTTTTTTTTTTCTTCTAAATCTCAATTATATTTTATTTGATTGTCATCGTTAAGTTTAATCAAATTGTATTCACCATCTAATTTTTCTTTTCTTTTGTTCGTAACACCTCACATATTATATTACAACAGCGAGTGATTACGAGTGTGAGTTCAATCTATTTCTCGAAATTATTTTTATTTTCTTTTAAATCTGAAATAAATTTTATTTGATCTATCCGTCACGCTAAACTAGCGGATCTAATCGTCGGATATGTCATCATAAATTTTAATTATTTTGTATTCACGATTTGGTTGTTTTGTTCTTTCGTGTTTCGTAAAGTGGTAGATGTTCCAGATTATCCTTTCGTCACAGTCAGAGATCTCGCCAGTAAGCATTTGTATTTTTCTAAAATCCTGGATTAGCATTTCATCTTGCTCGAAATTGTATTTGTCTAAATCCTGAATTAGCATTTCATCTTAATTATCGATAATTACTTCATTAACGGGTTTCTCGGTTCACGGATACTATTTTCTGGGACATAGAGGATTTCCCGATACATGATGGTCTCGATCCTGAATCTGTTTGTGAGAAAATCAAACAAGGTCTGGATTTTCCTGGTGAAGTGTCATTCTCGGCTTATTATGGAGAAAAGACCTTCCCGGATGTAGTACTGAATAAATACCGTGATGCCGGAATCACCCTCCATCCCCATGGTAAGTATGCGTCTTCAACCACATTTTTCTTTTTTAATTACTTACATATATCTCCCATGATATTTATACTTTATATTTTTCAATGGGTAAATGTACGAGATTGAATCATATGATCCTCGACATTCTTTTATGGAAACTGGATAATGATCCGGACTATTTTCACCCAAGAAATTTGGTGGTAATCTCAAGAAACATTTCGAAAGATACGGTGTTCAGCAATGTTCTCCGAGGGTTTCAGTCTAGTTGTACTGATTATAATGTTGTCGTAGTACTACTGCATGATAACTTTGCATCAAAGGGAATGCCACCACTTGCTGATGTATGAAACCATGCATTTTTCGTTTGTTTGCTTCATCTTTCTTCTCTAAATACAAACTCTGTTTTATGTTCAAATTATTTATATATGAAGTCTTTTAAATTATAATCTAGTTAAACTTTTCAAACTCAATTAATCATTGAAACAGAGAAAAAAAATAGAGTAAATAATCTATTCACCTTGTTCTAAATCACCAAATCTAAATTTTTTCGATGAAAATGTTTTATAGTAACTACACATCTATCAATATGTTATAATTACAAGAATAATTTTAAATAATCAAGAGAAAGCCAATTGATCAAAATTAACAAAAGTTAAGAAAAATATGAGCAAAACATAAGTAATATATTTTAATAAAACTGACAAAAGATCATAGATTCAAAGTTGAGATCTTAAACAAATAGAAACAAACATATATAAGACCATAATTTTGTGTTTTTGACTGCTTCCGATAAGTTACTACATTAAGCTGATAATTCATTCTTCTTTTTCCTTAACTTTTGTTTTAATGGAACCCCTTTTGATATATTAGTATCCATCAATTTTCAAAATGTCCTAAATTATCAAAATTTATTTAAGATTGAAATTAAAATTTGTTCACAAAATTGCATAGGGTGATTGGGTATGGGGATATAAGTTCATATGCCGGTGATCTAAACCTGTTTGCAGATCCTAATGTAACTGATACTAATATATGGTGATTACATAAAAGGTTCATTACATTTGTTGAACCATGTCCAGTGCTCAAGCGGTCCATTACTTATATATAACCAAATCCACTTAGTTGATATTTGACACCAGTTAAGGTTCATTACATGTTTTTTCACGATCAATATTGTTGTTGCATTTGGTCATTCAACAATATTTCTATCACAGCTGAAGTTTTATGTGATTTCAAGTGAGGGCACTCATCACAAAGCTAACCGAGGAAAAACAGTCTGCATATTCAACTGAACAATAGACTTGAAAGAGAAGTGGTAAAAGAACTTCCACTTGAATCCTTTTTATCTCTAAATCTTTCCTATCCATGCTCTTGTTTTTAGAATGAAAAGATTACTATGATGATTAGCAATTACGATTAAGCGTTTGTAGTCTTTTTCCATGGTTTTGTGAAGAGATGCTTTAACCTATAAATCATTTGCATTGGCTCTTATCAAATCCAACAAAATAATTGTGTTTCGTTTACTTTTCTTCATCGTTTGACATTCGAAACTCCCATCAAAATTGTTCCTTGGATCATACTTGTACAATTGTTGAATTAAACGCTGAGTAAGCAAAAAAAAGGAAGCAGACTCTAAAGGATCCAGAAGGTGTGAAGTAAAGATGAGAAGCCAAAAGGTTTGCTGATACAAGTTTTTTCTTCTTCTTCTTTATTAAGTCACGTTAGTGGTTTTCTTTTTTCATGCTTTGATTTCTTGTAAATTGAGAGACGCTAAGAGTCTATGCTTTTGTAATTCTTATCTTTTCTTAACACAAATTTCATCATCTAAATGAAGTCGACTGAACATAATTTTGATTGAACCGGTATGCAATTTTTGGTTCAATGCGAATGCGAGTAACTTGTTCATAGGCGAATTCTCAGACCGTTGGTCTGTGTTGTCTGACCGGTAATGGAACGGCGACGTTTGGCAATTGATTTAGAGATTCATTCTTGATTTACTTTCCAAAATAATTTCTTCCTGCTTTCCAGATAATGAATTAAAGGAAAAAAGGACTCAAATCATGTGGGGATGTTAATTAACGCGTTGTTTCCCAAGCAGCCTTTTTAGGGAGCAATTATGAAAAAAATCTGAATGAAAAATAAGGAAACTATATAAATGAATAATCAAATATCAATGATACTAATAAAGAGGCGAAAATTAAGAAATGATTGGGAAGAGGAAAGACATGGCTGGATTTTGTTATCCAATACAATTAAAAAAAAAATGTTATACACTTTTCACAATTTCACTGCAGAATCTTACTAAAGTGGTTGATTAAATAAGTAATAAAGTGGTAGTATTGTGATAATATCAAATCTAAGCAGCAATTCTGCGAGGACCATGTGATTGATTACACGGACAACACTCGTATTACGCAATCTCTTTACAATACTAAAAGGCTTAAACACAAGTTATCTCATTGTTTACAACATTAACCCAAAACACAAGTTAATACAATTAGTTTAGTACTAATATGTAGTTTGTTTACAATTAGCTTAATTTTTAGTACATGGATCCATATTTCAATATGCAGAAATATAAAAAGGAAAAGAAAGACTAACATAAGGAGAATATATATATCATTTGATTGGTTAACATCACAATCAAACATATTAAAACATGATATAACCCAAATTAAAAAGCTAAGAAAAGAAAATTGAACCCTGAAATATCATTTTTTTTTAATAATAATTTTTCGTCTCAACATTTCCAAGCTGAGACAGTAACAAGTTCTTTCCTCTGCCAACACAAGACAAGTGAAGACGACGATGACTGTCTCTTCTCCAAGTGAAACCCTCTCATCGGATTCCTCTGCAACAAATACTCCGCTTGTGTCTCCGCAGTTTGACTAAGTGTCACCGGAGAAAACCCACATTGCCCAAATAAGCTTCTCCACGGCGGTGATCTCTCCATCCAACGGTAACGATTCGTCAACAGTTTCTGTATCGACGGTTGCACACAAAACCTCTCAATACTCGAAGCAGCTTCCGCATTATTCAGATTCCCAGAGTCGAGAGACTCGAGCAGAGATGTGTAGTACTGGAGCGCGTTAATCACACCGTTAGGGAACGGCGCGTCGTTGTTGCGGTCGCAGCTTCTATCTGAGCAAACGACGACGTTTGGTGAGATTTGCTTGAGGAAACGAAGGATTAATGGGAGGTAACCGGAGACAATGGAGCTGATTGGAAGATTCACAGCAATTGCTTCTTTCTCCGATGATCGGAAAAAAGAGAGTGGCCAATAAGTTGGATTCAAGAGAATCTCCATGTTCAAGAGCTCGATTTCGAACGATACTCCGGTTTCTCCTGCGAAGTTTCTGAGATTTTCTTCAGTGAATCGGAGCTCGAATTCGTCGGAGACAGTTGAAGGAGAAGCGAAAGCTGTAATCTTTAGCGACGGAGGTGATGAAGATCTGTTTCTTTTTCCGGCGAGCTCTTGAATCAGAGACGCCCATTGACCTCCGTAACCGATATCGAAATCGACAATGTGGATTCGATCAAATCCTTCGAAGGACTCAAGAATCGTCTGGTTTGCTGTGAAATTGACGAATTGAAGAAACGGTGACGTTTCCGAGAAAGCTCTGTAAGCTGCGATTCGAAAGATTAGGTTTTGGGGAGGTGAGAGAGACGGTGGTGATGATGATGAGCCTTGAAGGATAGAGTGAAGAGCTTCGGTTATATACGAAGCTGCTCTATGAAACGGAGGTTTAGGATTGTTGTTAGTGTCGTTGTTGTTAAGGTTGTGATTGAGCCGCGCCAATATCCCTTGCGCGAGAACAGGATTGTTATCTCCGCCGTTTGTCGTGAGCTCCGCCGCCGCAGAGAATAGCTGGTCGATGATTACCATTGACTGGTCTTGGTCGTTTTGGTCTTCTCCGGCTATCTTTGGCGGCGTGAGAAACGGGTCGTGAGATTCGTGACCCGGATCCGTGAACGGGAAACCCCACTGGTGGTGGTGGTGTTGAGATCCGGGTTGACCCGAATTGAGCCGTTTCGCTGGAGGAGACGACGGAGGATCCGAGAAGAAACTCGGATTTGGGTGTATCAGAGCTTCCGGGTTCGGTGAAATCTGAAACTTCTCTTCTTCCGGTGGGTCGTGAAAAGGGAAGCCATAGCCAAAGAGTGGATTAGGATTATCAATAACCGGGTCGGATCCAGAACCGGTGTCGAAACCCACAAACTGAGAACCCGGATCCACTACATCGCCAGCCATGATTAATCTAAAAATACTCTGTTCTTGCCCCGGCGAGCCACCGGAGAGAACACCATCGAGATCCTCGAAACCCATTGGGTCGCATTTCCCATCGGCGCCGGAAAAAGTAGCAGCAGCAGCGCCGCCGCCGCTGGGACCACCGTGAGAAGAAGACAGCGTGGTGGTTGAAGAAGAGACGAAAGGGCTTGGACTTCTAACAGAGTCTAAAACAGACGTCGGCTCCGAGAAACCACCATTGTTAACAATAAAGCAGAGATCTTCGTCTACTCGTCCATGGAGTTTCTCCGGATTAGCCCAGATTTTGTATCCCGGAGAAGAAGAAGAATCTAAGAAACCCAGAACCCCCTTCCCTTGAAATTGCTCAAAGGGCAGGGGCATGACCAATCTCAGATGAAAGAGAGAGAATTAAGAGTAAAGAAACCCAGAAAAACCCTAGATCTCAGAACTTAAAGAGGAAGCCGAAGATGAAAGCTTGAAACTGAAATTGGCGCCCACATTATCTCACACTCGTTGTTAATAACAATCTTTCTTCACTGTGCTTATGTATATTGACTCTGGATGATTGCAACAACATTCCAAAGTGATGATCTTCATCAAAAATGCTCTCTTTTTTATTTTTGGGTAAAGGATTTGGTTTTTGCTGTGTGTGTGGTGCCTTGTGTCTGTAGATTTACTTATCTACATCTGTATATTTTACATCCCCTCGTTTCTAAACCTACTCGCACTTACGGCGCGTCACTCTTACTCTCCAAGATATCGCACTAGTACATTTGTTTGTCTTTCTCTTTTAAATAAATCTTATACATTTGTTAAAAGATTTAAAATACATAAGTACACACAGCTAATATATTTAAACTTTGGTTTACCATTAGTCCATTACCATCTGATTTTGTGTTGATTATATAAGTAAGCCATGAAAATCGAAATCAATGTGTCTTTAATCGAATAAATTTAGCCTAATCATAAATTGACTAAAATACTATGATGGCAACATGATAAATAGGGAAAACATTGATTTTTATGCATATCGACATTATTACTTTTCTAAAAAATTTACAAAAATTTGTAAAATAATCTTGCATCTTTAAAATATAATTTGTTATTTAGTGAAGTAGCAATTGTCTGTTATGAATAATATGTACAGTAACATGTTTTTTTATTAAATTGCTTGATAATAAAAATACACACATAAACACTTACTTATTGGAAAATGAAATC